CGTCAGAGCCGCTCGGTGACAGGAGCAGTGGGCAGAAGTCGAGGAGGAGTCCTCTGCAGACTCTTTATGAAGGAGACCAGGTCAGTGTTGTCCAACCAGCGTCACCAAACTTTACTGAAGCTGATTGAGAGGTCAGAATCCAGTATCAAACCAAAGTAGCGACAGGACATGTTTACTTTTCGATATCGTTGATATTTCACAACTAAACATCTTCACACTGGACACGACACTCCCTTAGGTCTCAGCAAGGAAATCTATTTGAAGAAAAAGTTTACCGGTAATTGAATTAACACTGATGAAAAAGTAAAGAATGTGCAAAATACTGATTTGTCTTTGACTATGAAACTTCAGAAAACATGCCGATTTAACATTTATTACAAAAACCCTGCATCTCCTAGAAAGTTAGAAAGTTTTGTCTTATAAATAACACTTACAAAGACCTGTGTGTAAGACTGTCATTGTTTTAAGAGAATGCTTTTCATGTGCTTTAAGGCCACTTTAAGTTATCCTATAGTCTGTCAAATAACTCCAATGAATTGAAAATGATTTAAAATATCTATACACCCAGAGAGATAGGCCTTCCTTTATAGTTAAATAATAATAATAATAATAACTTAGATTTATATAGCGCCTTTCATGAAACCCAAGGGCGCTTGGATATCTGTAACGTCTACTTGGTGTATGATTGGTACCAAATATTGAACTGATATCTTTGACTTCCATTCACTGTCTGTGTAGTTTACTTTTAAGGGGATATGCCCAGCATCCATATGAAAAGTAGAACTGTCTAAAAGGAATAAAAAGCATGACTATCAGCTTTTGCCTCGTAAATCTGATCCAGTTAAATCCTCCTTCTCTCCGTTGATCCTTAAGAAATGCATCGTTTGGTCGGAGTCAGTGGCTGAAAGGCAAATCACTCTTAATCCTCGTGATGTTTTTATTGTCGTGAAATGTTTCATGTCAGATAGGGCTGCTTTGATGTTGCTATTTCCACTGAACAAAAGGTCAGCCATCTTTGCAGAGTTACAGCAGTAGGGGAGGAGGATTTATGAGTTTATGCCGACGTTGTCAGACTGCAGGAAAAATCAAAGCTCGGTGACTTTAGAGCTGTGTCAGACGAGTGATGATAGATGTATAAGCCCACGTAGTGAGAATAACAAAGTGACCTCTGTGTCCTTCATTAAAACCAGCAAACAAATGAAACGTGTGTTGTTGGTGAGTTTGGAAACTTTGGCTGTCACCGTTGCTTTTTGTGATATTAAGCCAAGCTGAACCAAGCAGGTCCAGTGACGTCGATGTCCAGTAGACAGTTGGATCGGTGCATCCCTAGATTTAAACACCCCAGGTCACCTGGGCTCCAAAATAAAATCTGCTCTTTCTATTAATCCGTGTTTCCAGTTCGTCATCAATAGTCAAAGATAGAGCTGCACATGCAGACACAGCCTCTTAAAGTCGTCTGTGAAACAGCTGTTTCCGTTTAACTCTCCCTATGCGGAGAAGGAAGGTGAACATGCCAGAAAACAAAGCAGCTCCAGCAGACATCATTTACTTTTAAGAGCTTTAAGGGCCTTTTCCATGTAAACACTTCCCTCTTTCGAGGAAGCTGCTCAGCTGTCAGGATGGAAAACAACAGTGAACTGGATTAATGCTGGATTTATTTGTTTATTTGTTTACACATGTGAAGACAATATGTGAATGCTCTGATGAAAAAATGAAACATAAAAGTAAAGGAAAAGTAGCATCTGACCTGCAGACTAGCTTTCCATACAGTTAACCAATGAAATCGAGTTTTATTGACCACTTTTCTTTCGCTTCAATAATCATTAACAAAGAGAAACACCATGATTCAACTTATATTTTTGCCTATTTATAGCCAAACAAAACTGAACATTCACAACCACTGTAGCCTAAAGAATTTCAACATTGACTTTTATGTCTTCATATTTCCCTCTTTCATTCACACAAGTTTTCTTAGTTGATCACCCGTAGATGGCATACCGAACAAGCGTGAGTGAACACGCAATTCAGTACTCTTTACTTGAGATCTTAGTAAATCCGGCCCTTGGCTTGATCTCCTGACTTCTTGTCAATCTCAACTAACAAACAGGATAATTACGTATTAAGACATTTGGATAACACTTGTTTTTTTTATGCTCCCTAACAAATCGGGATTAAATACACAGAAACTCGTCTTGTCATCCCTTCACTGTAGAGGTGATATTTACAGCCCAATCATTTGACCACATAGTCAATCATTCACTGTACGAAAGTTTGATAAACCCAAATGCTAAACTTGTTTTCATTTCATTTCAAACATGCTCCAAAGACTATACAGCCTCTGGAGTGTAAGACAGGACACATGGTAGATTTGTTTAACTTTCACAACATTGGATGTGTGTTTATGTTCCTGCAACCTGGTATTCCCTTCAGATGACATGTTTATCTTGAGTTTCATCCTAGATGCTATTTTAATACCCCATATCCCCCCCTCCCCTCATATTAAGGAATTTAAAGTCAGAGATGGAAATACAGTGCTGTAAACATCCAGTACTCAAACTCCTGCTGAGAGAAGGGTCAGTGTTGGCTCAACAGTCTCACCCAGACGCCGTATCCTTGATGTTACAGTGTCTGCCAGTAAATACAGAGAGCCATGCATCGTGTCAGGGAGGTTCAAACCGCTGCAGTGGAGAGCCAGGGCTGAGTAAATGAAAACAGAAGTAAATAAAGCGTTTGTGCGATGAGGAAGCCGAGCTGAACCGCCTGACCTCACGGTTTTATTAGGGCAGGGATGAGCCGAGATTAAGACCTCCAGAGGAGAAGTTATTTTAAATACACTTTCTCACACTCAAGAGAACTGAGACGGTCTTAGTGTAATGCAGAATGTTTAGGGGATCTACTCCACTTCTGGTACGGCCTCCTCCGGCTGCTGGCTCAAATGCTTAATCTCCACAAATTCTAAACGGTGGAGTAATACATGAAAAAGTGAGCTGTGGGAAATCTTATAAATTACCTCAAGAGATACCGCTTGAGTCAGTGACAGTCGAGGAGGATTATTGTGAAATACATCTGAGGGTTTAGACTTTGAAAGATGTGAGTTTGGGTTATAATTTAATGTTTATTATTGTTGTTGTCTTTGAAATAAGTTAGGCTACTTTGAAGGTTCTCTGATTGGTTCTTCTTTCCCTTCACTCTTCAGGTGGAGTCAGCAGTGCAGGTGATCCATCAGGGCCGCCGGGAAGTGTTAGAAGAAGCCTGCCGCTCCTACACCCGCAAACGCAGAGTTCTGATCCCCGAGGACCTGAAGCACGTCATTGTGGACGACCAGCACGGCTTGCTGTACTGCTACGTCCCCAAAGTGGCCTGCACCAACTGGAAACGAGTGCTCATGGTTCTGACGGGTGTAGCCGGGTCCCATCAGGACCCTCTGTCGATCCCCGCCAACGAGGCCCACGTCCCAGGAAACCTCCGCACCCTCTCGGAGTACTCCACCTCTCAGATCAACCAGCGCCTGCGCTCCTACCTGAAGTTCGTCTTTGTACGTGAGCCCTTCGAGCGGCTGGTGTCCGCCTACCGCAACAAATTCACGCGGAGCTACAACACGGCTTTTCATAAACGATACGGCACAAAGATAGTGCAGCGGCACCGGCCGAACCCGGAGGCCGAGGCCCTGGAGAGAGGAAACGACGTCTCCTTCGAGGAGTTTGTGTATTACCTGGTGGACCCGGCCACCCAGCGGGAAGAGCCCTTCAATGAGCACTGGGAGCGGGTGCACTCACTCTGCCACCCCTGCCTCATCCACTACGATGTTGTGGGGAAATATGAGACGCTGGAGCAGGACTCCCGCTATGTGCTGCAGCTGGCCGGAGTGGAGAACAAGGTCAGCTTCCCTGCCTCGTCCAAAAGCACAAGGACTACTGGAGACATGGCGGCCCAGTTCTTCCAAAACATCAGCCCCTTCTACCAGAAAAAGCTCTACAACCTCTATCGCATGGACTTCCTGCTCTTCAACTACTCTGTTCCAGCCTACCTCAAGTTTAGATGAGGCTGGGACTCGACTCAAACGTGTAGAGCCAGGACTTTATTTTTGACTTTTGTTTTTTTTGTCATTATGGACCACTGCGAAAAAATATGATGATTGAATTGGAAAGTCACTTAAAGGAGCAATATGTAACTCTGACACGTAGAGCTTTAAAATTCTAAACATCGAAGAGAGCTGTCTCCCCTCTCCCCCTCCTCTCTAGAGTCGATGCCCACACAGGTTGCCATTTCGCGGACTCGGAAGCTTCAGTGTTTAGCCAGCTCTGCATCTGTCTTGAAACCTTCCTGCAACTGTTCAAGGCTTTTAAGATCGGGTAGAATCAGTTGGATCTGAACCAGTTTTCGCTTCCCCGCTTCCATCGCTGCAGCCCCTGTCGGTTTGTTGTTTGCCTGGCAAACCGAGGGGCGTCCAAGGGGGGCCGTGTGGAGGTGCCTTAAAACCTCCTACCTTCTCTGGTCCAAACAAATCCAGAGCATTCAGGAGCAGAATCTAAAGTTAGAAGGAGGACATACTGGCTGCTGCATTGTTGTCAGAGAAGACAGCACTTCAAATATAGATTATATAGTAAGGTCACTTTATGATATTTTACATACTGCTCCTTTAATGACTTTTTAAAAACAAGAGCATCAGACACACAGAGGATACAAGTGGAACTGAAGAGAGTTGCAACTAATATTTTAATGTCAACAGTGATTCAGTGGATGTTGGTCACTGACTTTGAATGTGCTGAAAGCCATTTTCAATTCTGGGTTGTGTTTGTGTCTCCTGCTGTTTCAGAAGTGCGTATGTAATCTCATCTACAAAACATGTAACTCTTATCACAATTTCCAGTGAATGTCTACGAACGTATGTGCCTTTTAATTGAGCCTCTTTTTCAACCCAGCAGACCATGACAACTTGTATTACTGTGACTATTTTGATTGTGCTGCAGGAAAAGGATTGATGTGCAGTTATAGGTTTGTCTTAATTTATTGTTTTACTTTTTACCGCGTAAGGACGGAAAACCCAACACGGGTTATTTAGTTTCTATGACAATTTTCAAATAAACCTGTTACAGCAAGAATGTGTCCATTGGTCTGAATATTGGAGTCGTTACCATTTACAATAATTAATAGCATCACTTATAGTACACTGCTACACAGTCATACTGCAGAACACAGTAGTTATGACTCATATTGTCAGTCTTTATTGAAGTGACAAGTCATGCCTGCAAAGATGTCATCTAGAAGTTTTTACAAATGTGAGAGCACTACAAAGTCCACTCAAGCTTATTATTATTATCACCACCTTTTGGATGCTATATTCAGATTAATAAAGACACATATCTATCTAAAAGTGCATATCAAACAACAAAAAAGGCTTCATACAGAGACATCTTAATCAGTAGTTCACAAAACAAGTACAACATCTGTATGTCAAATCCCTTGAGCACATACTAACAGAGAGACGGTGAGTGCAACCGTTTATATTCACGGGCACCGTGCTGTGCAAAACGTAAAATACTCGGTAGAAATTGTGCAGCATCAAACTCAGATTCCATGTGAACACATCAGAGGCACAAAAACATGAACATGGACCAAACAGGATCAAATCTAACATTCATATGCAAACTGCAGCATTGGATTAATATTCACAAACATTTACTCTAAATTGCTAGATGATAATTATTATTATTGCTTTAATACATCAATCATTTGCCATCTAACATGTAGGAGCTGACAGCAGGTGTACAGATGTTAACAATACAGTTGTTTTACAGCGTTACAACATCAACAGTGTACATAAAGGCCTTTTTCTGTGCAGAGCCAAGCTGGGGGAACCTGCAGGGAACGGTGTACAAAATATACTGACAACAATAGAGTGGAGAATAAAGTGCAAAATAAGTCACTTTCCTCCCCTCATAACTTCTATTCTGAGCCCAGTGGTTCTTCTTATCCACACACTGTTATATTTGTGCCTCAATCCTGACAAAAAAAGTGGTGTTTGGAGGAGAGATAATGATGCTTTCGAGCACATAAGTCATCAATCCATCCATTATCTTTACCGCTTTTTCCCGGTTAGGGTCGCAGGGGGGCTGGAGTAGATCCCAGCTGTCACTGGGTGAGAGGCGGGGTTACACCCTGGACTGTTCACCAGTCAATCACAGGGCTGATTATATAGAGACACACACCCAGACACACTCACATTCACACCAGCAATTTAAGAGTCAACAATTGACCTAACGAGCATGTCTTTGGACTGCGGGAGGAAGCAGGAGCACCTGGAGAGAACCCACTAATGCACTAACATGGAAACTCCACACAGAGAGGCTCCTGTCTGACGGGGATTTGAACCAGGAACCTCCCTGCTGTGCGTGCAAGTCATATTTTGTGGAAATTATCAAAAAATGAAATAATGTAATTTTTGCCGACAAAACTAGCCTGTGCTCAATTAACATATGTGCGTGTTTGCTACATTTACTGCACCTGTGTGAGCACAAAATCATAACATCAGTCTTTAACAGTTTCTCTGGCTTTCTATACAATGACACATGAACAAGTTACTAAATAGACCCGTATGGGACACCAAGTTGCTCCACCTTCACAGCCAAGGCATTCTATAATCATTAATGGTTTTTTTTTGGCGGCTGTGGCTCAGTCGGTAGAATCAGTTGTCTCATAACCGGAAGGCCAGGGGTTCGATCCCCGGCTCCTGCAGCCACATGTCCGATGTATCCTTGGGCAAGACACTTAACTCGCTGAAGCATCGGTATGAATGGGATTTGTTAATACTGATGGACACTTTAGCAAACTCTACAATCAGTGTGTGAATGTGTAGGTGTGACCTTCTGTGTTGAAGCGCTTTGAGGAGTCAGAAGACTAGAAAAGCGCTGTACAAGCTGAAGTCCATTTTTGTTTAAAATTGAATTATTCTTGCATAATCACTCTTGGCAAATGCAAAAAAACATGTGTTTGTCTCATTATGGGTACAGTAATGTGGCACAAATATAATCCTATAATTACGCTCTGTTTCTTTCTGTGATCTATGCAGCTTATTTCAGCCACTTGCATATATTGAACGTTACATTCAAGAAGTAAAAAACCCACAGGTAAGGATCAAACTCCAGTCCTAGCAGAACTGAGCATCAGAATCAGTCTGAAGCTCAAAGCCAGTAAGCCGGTCCCCAACAGGTCTCCCAGAGCTGTGAGGTAAGGGATGGAGAAGTTGTCTGGATCCTGTCCCCTTCTCCACAGCCATCGCACCATCAGACTGGCCGCATACAGCAGAATCACCACCTGGGGGGGATGGAGAGAAAAATACAGAAGAGTTTAGAACGAGAGTATCTTAGATGAGAGGCACGACATAAAGTAGGCTTTTCTTTGTGTTCCCTCAGTCATGTGACCTGAAGCAGAGCTGCAGACAGGTAGCAGATGATGAAGGTGGGAGTCATGGCGGTATGGCCTCCCTGCAGGAGGTGGATGAAGTACAGGAAGAGGAGGTGACCGGGGACTACGAGTATGACCAGGACTCGGGCCGATTTGGAGTTCACATCTGGAGAAACAGAATGAGTAGAAACAGGCTGTGTGTAATGATGTGTTCAGTTAGAGTCGAATTAAAAAAGGATCCAGTTTTTATTAAAAGCATTTGAGTTTGCTGCTGTTTGCTGTTTTCAATTAAACTGTCTTTTATACCTTTTTGGGGGGTGGGGAGATGCTTTATTTGATAGGACAGCTTGAGAGAGACAGGATATGTGGGAAGAGAGTGGGGAAACTTCAGGAGTTTTGTGTAAACAAAGCTTATGTTGTAATTTGGGGGGTATTTACAAATCCTTTTACTCATTCTACTGGAGAACATTAAGGTCAAACACACTGAAGAGGTCAAAACAAGGCTGCTAGTTTTATTGGAATCTACTTGCCTCTTCTTACATTTTCGGACACTAAGGCATAGATACAATTTTAAAAAAGCCGCCATTACCATGCTTTCTTACATTACGTTTTAAACTGCAGCGAAAAAATCCTTCACCCTATAAACCAAATGAGCCATTAGTTCATACCCTCTTAAAGAGCGTTTCCTGAATTAGTCGCCTGAAAGTTGTCATACCAGTTTGTGGTCATCACAGATTTGAGACTTCCATCCCAAACAGACTTCATCACTCTTTATATTACATCACCTGAATTCCACCTTCAAGAGAGGTCATCAAACGACCTGAAGGCTGTCGCAGACCGTCACCTGGTGGGTCAGATGTTGGCGGAAACGTTCCTACATACAGATGCAGAACACTCTGCCCATTTGGAAGCGTATAATTCACTAAACTATGTATTGGTCGTCATGAACTCAAGACTGGAACCACTGCGCCTAAAGTGTTAACTTCACCACTACTTTCAACAGCTAGCTGCTTCCTCTCTCTGTCTGTTGTCTGGAACTGGGAAGGCAGCGCATTTTTTTTTCAATTGGTTTGCTGCTGAAAAAATGTCTGTCAACAGCTGATTTTAAGCATGAAACCAAAAACTGCATCTTAACAGAGTAAAAAGCTCAGAAGAGCTTTTTTTTTTTTCATCTGACCTGAGGAGCAGAAGGTAGCACATGGTCCAGGACAGTTCCCACTCGTTTCTGATGGAAGAACCCCAGGAACACTCCAGTAGTGGAGATAGGTGGACATCCTGCTGGCCTGGATGGCCACAAGATTCCCCCCTACACCTGCATGGGTGTAAAAAAAAGATGTTCTATTATTATCAAAAAAAATATACAACCAGTATGAATCACATTTCAAATTGTACTTAACATGTAGCCAGAATCAAAACCAGTGGATATGATGCAACACTATGACTCCCAAAGACATGCTTATTTATCTGCTTCTATGTAATCTCTATGGTACATATCCAGTGTTTTCTCAGCACCTGGATAAGTGATGTGCATTTGTTTGCTGACTTTTTTGGGCCAGACTTCCCAAAAAATAAAAAAAAATAAAAAATACTGTTTTCATTAACATGAAAAAATATCTTTTTTTTTTTAGCTGCAACAATATTTTATTAATTAAAATATTATTCATATATTTGTGAATTCCATATTTTCATTGAAAAAACAAGAGTGGAGAGGTTAAGTTGGCCTGGTAATAAAAAAGGTAACCGCTTCAGAAACCACTCCACTATCAAACGGAGGTCAGCTAGTCCACTGTTGTTTTTTCACTTATTTTTTCCCGACTACAGCGCACCTTGTATTACCCAACATTACCCAACACACAGTGAGAAACGCCAGCTTACATTCATTGTTTAAGTTCCGACATTTTCATTACTGAATGAGATGCAAGCTTCGGCACCATCATCAGTTATTTTCTAATCTAAAGAGGCTGAGCAGAGTCTGAGAGGAAGCACTCAGAGGGATGGATTCTTTTTTTTTTGTGTTGGAAATGATTCAGCAGTTCATTCCAACACGGCCTCCAGGAGCTTGTTTCTTTTAGATGCTGGCTGACTGGCTATGGTTTCCATGTTCATTGTAACACAGCTCTCTTCCCAAGCAGATTTAACTCGGAGCAGAACAAAACCTCTTGGCTTGCTCTGCTTTTAAACACATGGCTCATTTATACCAGGTGTATAACAGGAAGAGTGTTTCTGGCACTGGTGACTCCTGCGCTCATAAATTTGAAGATACTTGTATCACACTTGGATATTTCCATTTAGGCAACTGTCTACCTCTACTTAATCTAAACTACAGAGACATGTTTGGTTTTTTACTCTTCTTCATTTACCCGACCACTGATTGAAGGTAGATGCCACATTGTGGATTAAGATTTTACAGAATTTGCTCCACATTGACATTGACAAAGTCTTGTAAGCCACATTGAAATCAGCATGAAACATTATGACACTATTCTGCATGAGTCCTGCAACTCCTCACCCTCTAGTGACTACGAAATCACAAATTCACTGCTTTTAAATTCAAAGGCTGTACATCTCTCACTTTTTCCACCACGTGCTCCTGATGAACAAGGTCGGGGAGGGGGGGGGGGGGGGGGCTCAATTGATATGCAAATGCACTTCCTGTACGATGACTTCAATACATGCAGGATTCTTTGGAAGCCGCTGGCCGAGATGCTGCAATCAGGAGCCAGTGAATGCATGGTTGGCATTCTGATCAGGCTTGTGGTCTATGTAAAGACCATTGTTATTCCTCTCTACTTAGTATGCTGCGTTGTGGGCAACAAACTTGAGTCACTACAGAGGCTCTAAAATGTGTCTCCAGGGGTTCATCTGACAGGGAGGAGGCTTCAGCTGCACTTTAATACCTCCTGATTGATTCATAGCTCCGAGCTAAAGCCCTTATAAATAATGATGGGATAAGCCGCAGGGTTTGAATTCTACAACTGTTTCAACACGACATCAGTTGCCACAAGGCTTTTTAAAAAAAAAATACTAATAATGAAGCTAATCATAAAGCTATAATGCCAGTCTTCAAAGATAAGGAGTGTTGAGACACCATCACCCCAAATCCCAGATCTGCTTCTCCGCTGAAAACATGTCAGCGTTCATTTCTTTTGCTCGCCAGCGTTTGAGGAATGAATGTCACAAAGTGTTTCAGCTTTAATTATCGAATGAATCCACAAGAATATCTAAATTACACTGCAAAAATAATCTTAGCAAGTGTATTTGTCTTATTTTTAGTCAAAATCTTCTTATTACTCTTATTGATAAACATCTTATTTTAAAGGAAGAATGTGTGTCTTTTTGATCCAGTAGATGTCGCCCTCGAGCACCAGCACTAAACCAAAACAAACTGCTGTTTGGTGACACCTCCAATCACAATGAGAGCGCACCATAATTAAGCCCCATTAAGCGCAAGAGGAGGACAAAATTGTCCTTTGCTCAAGCTGCAATTACCTGTGTCCTGTATTGTTGTGTTTGCAGGCTAATGTTAGCACACTTTGGTTAACTCGTAGCTTCATATTGCACATAAATCAACACACAATGACCGAGATCAAAACACACTTATGGGACATCTAAATAAGAAGTGAGTATGTTATTCTTCTTTCCTCTAGTCCTTGACTAAAACAGCTTTATACACAAGGCCGTCTCTTCCTGTAAACATGATGTAAACACAGCTCAGACAAAAACACAGCTGGTGGGACTCAAGCTTCTCACTCATTGTAGACAGTCATGACTCAGAGAGACATTTACACAGGATATACTTCATTTATGCTATATTTATGTGTAAAATGTTGCACATTCCACCTTATTTATTGATGAATTGCTTCTAATAAGAAAGAAAACTGCCAATGGGCAAGCTACTTTATCTAATTTAATGTAATTTCAATGAACTTAAAAAGTACATTTTGCTTTCTGCATTGGCAGATGTTTTTGAGTTATTACAATCAATTCCTGCCTTATACTTTGCTCATTATCTCTAATAAGATGTTTATCTGGATGTGTTAGGTTAATGTGGCTTATAATAAAAGTGTAATTGTACAAGTTTGACTATAAAAATAGTGGGGCGACGGTAGTTTAGTCTTTTGGGAACCAGAGGCTCGCTTTAGTGCGGAGGAAAGTATGGACGTTGGTTCCTGGAGAGTTGCCTGGTCCCTTCCTGAGGATTGAGCACCCTGAGCAAGGAAGTCCCAAGCTCAAGTCTCGGTGCAGTCCAAAGCACCAGAAAGCAGCCGTCCTCTGAAATCTCTTCATTAATGCATGTCTTTAGGGTCCTGTTTGTGCCTGTGTGTGTAGTTGTGTGAGAAGCGCGTCACTCAATAACAGAGTGTTAAACAAGAATTTCCCCTCAGGGATTAATAAAGTATGGTTTTTTTCTTCATCTAAGATTTGAGTTTTTGCAGTGTAGTCAAAGGTAACCTACAAGGTATCATCCTTGTATTCCCTGTGGGCCTCTAAAATAAGGATGCTATCTGATAAAGTGTTGGCAGAACATTAAGTCCATGCATATCTGACTCATGTAAACCACCTGATAAAAGATCAGATCCAGAGTTTAACCTTTATTTCTGGTACTTGATGCTGTAACTGTTGACATTTGTGTTAAAAATATCTTCTATCTGAGTTTCATAAATTACCTGTTAGATGTTTTCGGCACTGTTTTTAATGTAACGCTTGTAAATGTTAAATAAGAAGGTTAAAGGTTAGTGTTGCAAATAAGTCTAATGTTTTCTGTTCATCTCCCACTCACCATTTATGACTGGAGTCAACACGGCCATGCCCTCAAAGTCTGGATTGCTGACCGTGTTATCCAGAATCACACCACCAATACTGGGAAGAGACAGAGAACAGACATGTTTGTTTTATGAGTGGGAGACACCTGTATTAAACAGGAGGCAGAAGTATCTGGCTCATTCCCCTTTGTAGATACAGTGCCAGTGGTTCGCTCACCTGCTGATTGACATGGCCAAAATGACCGGTGTCCAGCCTGACTTGAGGATCTCTCTGATTGATGGAGAGTGACGAGCGATTGTGAACCACAGTGGGATAAGGATCAGGAAGAAGCAACACGTGGCAGGAGGCAAATACCACATGTCTAGAGATCAAAAAAGAACAGGATGCATCTGTCAATATGCACATTGGTGTTGGAAAATAAATCACTGCCTTCTTTAGAGAGAGGGACAGACATCGGGCAAGTCGTACGAATTTCTGACTTAATGGAAGACAGAGGCAAGGCTTCCTGGTGTTCGATATCTATCTAGTTGTCAATGTTGCCCTCTTCTGGCAAAAAATGATAATCATCACAACTGTTGACGGATTTTGATCATATTTGTCTCTTAATTAGACTACGCTGTCTCTAAACATTAAACTAGAGTCCACACATATCACAGGTGCAGACAAACAGTCTCCTGAAACTGAGTAATGGTCCTCTATTCATGTCATTTGTGACCTTCTGACCTCTATAGCTGAAGAAGAGGCTGCTGACCCCGGCAAGCAAAGACAGAGTGGTGATGTCTCCGAGGCTGGCGGCGATGGGCGTGGCCACATTATCTGGGTTGATGCCCACTTTCCTGGATCCAATAATGACCGCCACCATCACCAGACCTGAAAAAAAAAAAAAAACACAAGACAAACCGTTGACATAGAAGTCAAACAATGAATATGCTCTCCAAAGCATTGCCTTATAGGTGGCAGGATTAGTTTAACATGCAAATATTTGGGCTGTATTAAAAGAGGCAGACATTGTTGTCGTTAAAAAGGGGGGCCTGACAGAAAAGCTTTCAGAACCACTGATCTAGATCATTCTAAGTAATTTATTCTTTTACAGCAGCTTCCTTTCTTTTTGTCTGACCTAGAGACAGTGCAGTGATAAAGGCCGTGGTGACGCTGCTGGCACACAGGACAGAAGCCTGGATAATATTCAGTCTCCCTCGGGTCAGAACCCCAAGACCCACCGCTGCAACGGCTGCCAGGAAGCCCACCACTGTGGCCTGGAGCTGGAGAAGAAGGAACAAAAGCAGAACTTCTGTTTTTTAATAACGTATAAATTGTCTGGTGGATCAACTGATTACTATCTGTGTCTGTCTCAGAGAATCAAAAAAGCAGATGGACAAACATTAGAGGAAGATGGTGAAAGAGAAGAGGGGAAAAAGAGTGTGTGTTGGGGGGGGGGGGACAAATCAGGAAAAAAAAAGCAAGACATGACCATATTGGGTCTCCAAGTTTGGGATTATCAAATAAATCACATGATCATATGAACAAACAGAACTTAACTCGACATGTTTTTATGATACAGACGATAATATGTGATTAAATCCCATGATTCTTTGTTTTCTTTTTCTTTTAACAGAAGATTATTACTAGACGCATCAGTCCCCGCTGGCATTTGGCACGAAAGATGGTCTGTCGTTGGCAGGTTGCCAGTTCATCAAAACCATTCACACTCACACCACCGAGGCGCTAATTAACGTGCATGTTTTTGCAGGTTTGTGGAAAGAAACAGGAGCACCCAGAGGAAACCTACGCACACACACAGGGAGACCACGCAAACTCCAGACAGGAAAGTCAGAGTCTGACGGCAGGTTTTGAACCATAAAAAACAGATCCAACCATTGCATCATATGCCTTCTTCTTTCATTTTAAGGTCTATTTCACGTCATCAAACACAGTAAAAGAGATCAACTAAATCTTTCCCTTCACTTTATGGGGCAACCAATCCCCAGCTACCCCAGTCACTTGTCAAAGTTTCCTTAGGCAAGACAGTGGACCGCGATGTGGTTCTGCTGGAACACCAGCTGTGTGGATGGAATCATGATGGGCTCTTTATAGCGACGTCTGAAACAAAACAGATTTAAATACGGACACACCCGTGTCTACACATTGGACTGACTTGTATTCTGCAATTCTAACATTTGTTACAATGAATTAAAGGGATACTTCACCTGTTGAAACATGAATCTGTATTGACATTGGGTCATATATATAGTAGAAATGTGAAATAAATTTTGAAGTTGGTGCCTTCTTGGCCGAGAAAAGCAGCCGCAGCAGCCAAAACACAAGACCGGCCTGTCGGCAGCCGCCATCTCGCTGTTAGCAATATGGCGGACGTTAAGTTTCGATTCTGGGAGTGAGTTCCCACTCACTGATCTGTGATTGGTCTGTAGCTTCAGTGGTCAAAAATATGAGGAGCTAGCGTTGTAGTTTCACCCCGCTAACCACAACAGCTTCCAGTGACGCAAAAATCGTCATTTTGCGTCACTGGAAGCTCCTTTTCAGACTCAGAAATACAGATTTCCCATCTCAGGGGAAAATGAGGGCGGGATGCACGAGCATTCAAAAATCCAATTCAAAAAGATTAATGCAAATGGGTGAAGTATCCCTTTATGAATAAAATATTTTGGGGGTTTTAAGGCTGTTGTATTTTTTGTTGTGTTGTTCGCATTTGTGTTTCCAGTGAAATAGGCCGGTTAGTGCATGTGCATGGCGGTGCGCTACGTTGCCTTAACCACCTCCAGGGACAGTGGGCTCAGGCACTGGGACCCTCACGGGATCACCAGCCGAAATGTTTGGGAACCCCCTGGTCTCGAAGACAAAAGAAGCAAAAGTCCACGTCCAGTTAGCATTTCCTCTATCTTAATAGCCATTATGCTGCATTCACACAATGAAGGCAGAACAGCAAGGACAAGACAAAAATGTAAATCCATCCTGTGAGCATTTATCCATTACACTGAAGCGCTTAGTTATAGTTCCCACTTGTAGTCCCACTGGATTAGTAGAATACATTGGCTATCTTTACTTTGTTACATATCTGTAGCGGTTCACTCAAATGAGAAACCAGTCAAGACAAACAGTTCTGTTTAAACAACTGAGAGATATCTTATGTGTAAGAAATGCAGAGTTTAAATTCAAGGTGAAAAGACAAATATAAACAAAGTGATTAAGCAGGCCATCAAAGAATCAGCCCAATAATAGGATTTTACGCTCCACTCTCTTATCACAACTCCCATTTGGAAACCCTCTGCGACTCTTATCTTCCCAGTATAATTGGCTGAGGCGTGAAGTGAAGTGTTTTGAATGTGCTGAAGACTTCACCGCAGCAGAGGAAGCTTCCCAGGTTAAATAGATTTTGTCTTGAAGTCGGCAGAGGCGGGTCAAAAATGATGGAGTGCGTCATTAACAGCATGGCGGCTGTGCGGTGGAGCGGCGTGTCACCTGAATGAGAGCCAGATTACAGATCACCATCCTCCACTTCTGCTGAGCCTCGTCCATCTGCCCTGTGTTGGCCTGCGGATGGAAACAAAGTTCACGTTCATCCCCGTCTCTCCCTCACGTTGTGTTGGGCACAGCTTAAAGGAGTCACTGTGCAAAATTGAAGTCCCACCTCTTGTCGACATAACACGAGGATTAGCTTAATAAATGTTCTGATTTGTCCGTCTTAAGTTTGCAAAGCTGAGAGCAAAGATTCCTCTGAGTTTAATTAGGATGCTGCTCCCTGGGTAGAAGTCATATACTTGAATAATTTGCTTTTATGAAGCAGAATTTCAATCACAGAGTCACTAAGCAAAACGTTGGAAAGCTGAGAGTCATCACTAGAGAATTAGTTTTCTTTCCCCCTGGTACCTAAGGTAACTTGTCTGGGAAGCATGTGGGCACACTGTTGCATGTCTGTTTTTGGTGAGTATGTTTCCACTCACTGCAGTTGACAGTCTGGATGCCAATGTCATCTCCAGATTCCCCTTCAGCCCAACCAGGGCCGGCACCAAGATAAACACCTCCGAGATCTCCTGGAACACCAACCAGTGCTAAAACACAACACAGGGACTTTTAATAGACCTTCTGTTCACATTAAATCAACTTTGAAACACAGCCTACTGTTTTAGAGAAATGACACAGTGATGCTATACATTGGAAGAAAAGATGCTTTTTGCCTCAGGTTTTAATTAAGCACTAATTTAAACATGCAGTATGTTTTTTTTTTGTAGACAGCAGAAACACATTTGACATTATGATCTGTTAGGTTGTGAGAAAACGTTGCTGATTTACGCTACAAAAAAAATTATGTTTTGGAGTTAAGTTTGTGTAAAACTTATAATGTCACTCCGTCATTATTTTTTATTCTCATTGGTTCTCTTTAAAATCCTAAGGGAAATATCCGGCTTGTTAGCTTCTCAGCGCTCCACGTTGATCACCTGCTAGTCTTTGTGTCTGGTTGTTTGGTGCTGAGCAGGTCTGTAAACGTTTATTAGCGCTGCCATGTTTGATTAAATGTAATCAAAGAGACAGAAACATTGTGGGCCATAAAGGTTCAAAACAAACCAAAGACACTCCAAAGTTGAGGAATACTAATGCTGATCATCATGAGGCCCAGTCACTTTAGATTCTTCATTTCTGTATTCCGAGATTTCCAATGACATCATTCAAACTAACCACAACAAGAAAACAGCTGCCGAAAGTCAACACATATGTTGAGGCCTTTAAGCGAGAAAATCACATTTTGTTAATCAGCCTCTAACCCTGAGTGATGTGGTTTTATATTATGAACACAACAACATTTTACAGCCATCTTAAAGCAATTTGGTAACATCTTTGTGTTTTAAAGCCGCTCCTCAGTGGTTTGAGGTGTTTGAGGCTCCCTTGTAATTGAATTTCCTCCATTTGAATCAACATGTAATGACAATGTGAAACTACTTTGGGTTGGAATTTTCAAAACCTTTACATTGATGGTTGCTCGTCAGTCATTAAGATTTACTTTAAGTGAGACATAGCAGGGGTTTTAAACGTTTACCCCTTACTGTATAAAAAGTGCATGTATATTATTACATTAAACATATATCAAATGCTTTAACATGTTCCTTAACACCTCTGACTTGCAGCTGGAGTTGATTATGGTTAGGGTTAGAGGATTAGCTTGTAAGAAAGGGAATCCTTTATCTTGAAAGTGGTCATTTGTTGTTGTTGTTGTTTTTACCATTCTGAGTCTGTTTTACTCTCTTCATCTTTCTCATAAAGTCGACAGATTCGTTACATATGCATCCCATCCATCTTTAATCTAAATGTTCTACATCTACATGTCAAAGGCACATGAAAAAATGAATAGAAGTAAAACGATATCACAAAAATCATGAGACATCACTATGATTCACACGTCATATTCATTGTAGTTATTTAGAATAAAACATGCAGGACAAATAATCCTGTCTTGCATTGAGTGTATAACCAATTAAATACTCGCATTAAATACTGATATGAGTGACACAATGTTATCTCTCATGCACACACTTTTTTGTTTCCATACTTGCACTATATCCATGACTATCCCGGCTGCCACCATGCCCAGGCCGGACACCAGGTATGGAAGCAGGACTTGGAAGGCAATGGCCCATGAGCTCTCGGGGAGGACGCCACGGGCCGAGCGGGTCAGTTTGCACGTGAAGCCCCTCAGCTTATTCCCCTGGAAACGCAGCTCGAGGGCCAGATGGGTCACCACCATGGCTGCTCCGTGTTAACCCATTACTTAGTCTGTAAAAGTGTCCGTATGTGAGAGGAGGGTCACAAAGCTGTTTTTCAAAGCCTGTTGTTGAATCAGTCAAGCAGATTTGAGAATAAGGATGAAATGATCCACGAAGAGAAGACAAGTTTCTTTTTTGGGATTTCTTTCCTCGAGATGTCTTCACCTCTCTTCAGGCTCTTTGAAATCCTTTGAAAAGTCACAGACGATGGTTTTGTTGCTGAGACGGTTTTCTACGCGCAACAAAGAGCGATTTAACAAGTTTGTTTTGCCCTTCACTTGTCTCTCCAGCACAAGTAGGGCAGCAACTAAAAGTACTTTTGCAAATGGTGGACTATAGGCAGAGGAAGCTGCTATCAAACACTTCAAGCACACACACATACTAAGACGCACGTACACACACACACACATACACACACACACACAGGTCCACTTGACAGCAGGTCTGTGCGGCCTATTCTGTCACTATGCGAATGACAGATCTCCACACACACACACACACACACACACACACACACACACACAAACGCCCTTTCTCTCCTCATGCCTCACTCTTCAGGAGCCGGGCGGCCGAGGCGGAGCGCTGGAAGCACGGTCTCTCACGGGGCCTGAAGAAAGTCCAGGTCCTGTGGGACAAGGACATCCAGAAGGCCAGCAGCTTCTTCTCAGCCCTCCTGTGCTGCCATTCCTTTTCCTCCCTCTCCCACCACACCTCCTTTTCATTCTCCTGATTTTGTCCCGTCTGAGCCGGACTACTGGGTCCCTTCCTCATTTTTGATCAGGGGTAACGCGGGGGGGGACGTCGGTCCAGGCTGCGAGCTGAGCGAAGGCACACCGGGCGATGTGACGTATGGGAGGCTTTCTGAAAGAGGAATGGCAGATGTCGTGATGATGCTGCCGGGGGGGCTTCCCCTTCTGGGCTCCAGATGGAGATGAGTCGTGACGGTGCTGATCAAAAGGAGTGATAAAAACGGAGTGTGTTTGAAGATGAATGTGAGAGTAAGGATGCTGCTGGAAGGCGTCTGTGTATAAAGCAAGGTGACCAGTCTCTCTCAGGACTCTTCTCTTTCTCGCCCCCCCCTTGTGTCTTTTACAACCACATCAGAGGAGACTGCAGTTGTGCTCTCCCTCTCTCTTTGATAGCTCCTCCTTCCTCTGTTCCACGATGTCCTCACTATTAGTGGCTGACGCACTCCGAGCAGCAGCAGGTGCTGTACCTGTCACCAACACGTGGCGCTGCTGCTGATAGGAAAGGACAGCGTTCACCCTCCCTGATCAGAGGAAACACACAGAGGCTGCAACCTAACCGTCTTCCCCTAGACTTTTTTTTTTTTATCTCTCAGAGTTCATTTTTTTCACTCATCAGTCTGTTTTTTGTTTCATCATGATTAAGCCATTTGCTGCCATACATACTACATCAATAGTTGCCTTGGTCTGACATAATAGCCTCTGTTTACCTGATCTGCTGAATAGGAGTAAAAGAATGACAAATCTAACAAGATCTGAAAGTTTGCTCTTGGTTTTGGCCTCTCGTTAATCCTTTGTTCCCACTTTATCTTAAAACACAGGGGAGAACAGAAGCCTGTACAGAACACTTAGTCAGAGCATGTCCTCACACACACAAACAAGGACACACACACACACACACACACACACACACACACACACACACACAGCCAGTGACTCAGCTGAAACGTGTCCTTGAGACATGACTCGGGCAGCTCCCTCTGCAGACTTCTAAAAACATCTGCGTATACACATATAAAGATGAAAAAAAAAAATCGATAACTTGAAGAGAATTTCTGCCTGATTTTGCAAAAACGGAAGCATCTAAAAAAAACAGAGAGTGAAAGGTGATAACATAAATCAGAGGCTCAAGGCAGAATCTGTACTCGGGTCACTGTATTATCAAACAGCGTGCATGAGAGAGACTTCTTTTCAGACTGAACCCGTCATTGTTTTTTTTTTTAATTATGCTTGGGTTGGCCCCTCTGCAATTATAGTAGCAGTGTCTGTCAACGCCTCTCAATGTTAACCAGCTATTAACCAGAATCTGTGGTATGTTGACCTCTGTGGTATCATTATGTTGATTAAGTTGCTTGTTAGAGCAACACGGCAAAGCAGAGGGGTTAGTCACCCCCTTAAACCAGTGCACAGATCTATCTCACTACTGCACACTCTGACTCTCCAGACCTCAGCTTCTCATGTCTACAGCATTTATATGATGTGTCCATAGTGTCTTATTTGTTTCTTTTGATATAACATAAGAAAGAAAGGAAGATTTTTCATCATGGTGTGTCTGAATCTTGTTGTTGCCACTGAAACTCACCCAAAACAATAGTGCCGATGTCATGTTTCATGTATATGTTGAACTAATAGCTTTATCCTTTGATGTTTTGACTTCTTGATGATAAGGCATTCGCCAGCCATAGCTCTTTTTTTCCCCCCCAAGTAGACCGTTGCCCTTTAAGATAAAAGATGTCATCATTTTATTATTTCATCCTGTAACTAGTTTGATTGAAACTTTGCGCTATCTCCAGATGTGTACGAGTTCAAAGGGAGTTCTCGATGTTTGTTAAGCTTTCTTAGGTGTTTTATGTGTTCAAGTGTAAATAATACGGTATGTGGTCAGTGGCGATTCTGGAGTCTGTTGGGGCCCTAGGCAAGAAATAACTGGGGGCCCTACAACCTGTATTTATCACCATTATGTCTGCCAGTGTCCCGATGCTTTCTCCTCATCCTCTTTCTGTTTTCTCTCCTATAGACGGATACTTCCTTTTCATTTTTCTCAATTGACTTTCATTGACAAACTTTTGGTTTTCACAGCAATGCTTGGCAATGCAACGAGAGTGAGTGCTGTCAGATGGGGCCCCCTTAGGGAGAAATTCACAGGGGGCCCCTCCAAACATCGTTCATCCTGATTATGTTATAAATAATCTGACAACAACTTGTTTTTTATCTTATTAAAGTGTTTTCCCACCATATTTAGGGCTAGACAAGCATCATTCAGTCATTTACTTTTATATAAGTGAGTGCCGTCGGATGGGGCCCCTTTAGAGGAGGTATCCTACTGTCATCAATCAATAGTCCATAAATACATACAGTTAGTGGCGATTGAATGCTTTTTTTTCATATTTTTGAGAAGCAGGTCTGAGTATACATCAGCAAAACTATTCCATGACAATTTAACTACCTGCTTTTAGTCACTATAATCCACAATATAGGCTTCCTCTTTGTAGGCCACTCTATCTTTTCCCTGATTTACGCTTGCATACACGACTTAATCGGCTTGAAATCTCATGTGCATGTGTCTTGCCAAGATGTCACTTTGTTCCTATTGGCACGGTGACATACTGTAGGTCATTGTGACCTCAAAACCCTCTGCCACAAGCCCACAGCTCAGTGCATTCACCTCAGAGTGAAACGGAGAGAAATAAACACGAGCTCTCCCAATGCATCAAATACATATGCATAGAAATTACTCAAAAATATTCAATCAATCAATCATGTCCATGTTAGTGGCAGATAGCCATGGACCTGTCCTACTGTAGTCACACATATAATCCATACTGGTTACTCACCTGTACCAGGTCCAGCAGCATGCCGGCCGACACCATTCCCAATCCAGCCAGCAGGCATGAAGGCAGCACCTGGAGGCAGATCACCCTGGATGACTCTCTGGAGGAAACATGGAACTTCTCCTCGTCCATCTCCTCAGGACAACTTCGGCTGCTGAGGTTCATGTCCGTCCACAGCTGCCAACCATCTCGATCGATCCAAAAAACTGTTTATCTTTCAGTCTGAGAACCTGCACTGTCATGTTTCATCCCCCTCGTTGGTCCACCTGATATGTGAAAGACAAATATTATTTCCTTTGAAACATTTACAATGTTTTCAATTCACATTTTTTTGGGGTGAATTGGATGAGGTTTAGATTTTACATAGTTTTCCTTATTATGTAAGATATTTATAGAAGATCTTGAACAATTACGTAGCCTACAGTATTTCTTTTAGGTTTACTTAGAAATTAAAATTACTTTGAATCAAAGGTCTTTACATTATCTCACTTCTCTTCCCCTGATCTCTCTCCTGCCGTCTCTAAAATCTGGACACTTCCTTTGCTGTCCTTGCGCTTTGCACATTGTATGTATTTATTTGTGATGGAAATTTGTATCTTCATGTAGGCTCAACTCCATTTCAATCCCCATGGAAACCATATGACTTCCTGAGCGTTTCACGTCATGTATGCTATTGAATGCATAATCTCTTATTAAAGCAGATTAATTTATCTTAAGGCCGCAGGCGTGTGGCATGTTTAAACAGAATTTAGTCCTGTAAAAACAGGAGAAATAATGAAGCAGAGGAAACCTCACTCTTACCTGATGATATCAACACAGCATGAACTTTTCTTACCGGCATATTTATAATTTAGACGTCATACTGTTTACACCTTATGTAGTTTCACTGTAAATTCTACTGTAGGCTACCTGTGTGTTACATTTACAGAGGCAGATATCATCCAGGAGGGGGCACCTTTAATTACATTAGTAACTTCTTGTCACAGTTTTTAACAGCTGCATAATGAAGAGATATAAAACTGTTTACAGTCTGAACGTTTTGCTCAAGAAACGGCTGGAAAACTTCTTCTGAATTCAAGTCAAGAGCACTCTTCTGTCATCTAGTGTCTAAAATGGTGCACACATTTTGTAACAGCAAACATTTGGAGGACAGAGCTCAAACTGGAACTCGTAAAATAAGAGTGTTAAAGAAATAAAATTGATAATACCGTTTATTCCCCAAAGACTGTGACCACATATTTTATGGGCGTCGCGCTTTGGATAGCACACAGATTTAAAAAAAAATTACTTTCTGACATGGAAGCATGACAGTCATGAATGCAACTGTTGTCATCTTTTTGTTTGTTTGTTTTGTAGGGAATTTGTCTCATTTGACCTCAGTCAGGTCAGGACTCATTTCAATAATTCACATCAGCTCCTAAGATGACTAAAGTTCCTTGAAAAAGATGGAAAAAGTAGATAAAAGACAATGTGATCTGAATGAGAAATATCAGCTAAAAAATATCACAGTAAGAGATTTGTCTTCCCTGGCTAAGTTAACGTTGACTAGCTCTTAACTTTGTGGTAATTTAGTATCCAGGTAACCAGAGGCATAAAAAGACCATTTCTACAAGGTGAACAGAAACAACCAAAGCTTTCACACTGTATGCAGGCAATGTTAAAAGTCAAGGTTAGGAGTTATTATAAGAAATTAAAATAGACACTAAGTCATTTATGACTAGGTACAAAATGATTAGATGCTTATGGTGTAGACTGCACTAAACTGCATCTCAACTCTGCAAACCCACTCACTGCACTTTAAACTATACTGCCACATTAAGTCTGCCATTCAAGGTTTCAACTGATATCAGGATCTTATCATGTGATTCATTCACAAAGATTCTCATGACCCGAGCTGGCCTGATAATCTTTCTGGCATACTGGGCATTTTTTCCGGGTGGATGAACATCATTCAGGTCTCAGGTTATATAACTACTTCAGGGGCGTGTCTTAACTTTTTTTTAACAGGGGTTGAACATCTGGGTCAATGACTAATGCAGGAGTTACATGATGTTTGTGGGCACACACACGCAAATTAATGTCATTTTTTTACCCTTTCTATCCCCACTAAAATATGTTCTTACAGAAAAAAGAAACTCAATTTGGCAACACATAAATCTTCTTGTAGCTTGATTCTTCATGTTTGTGAAAAGTTACAATTTCAAATACTTGTAGGCTGTCTAACGTTCACAAATACATTAAATGGCATTTAAGTCCATTGCAAGTGAGACAGTGTGAACAAGTTTTTTACCTTGGAAAATTTGACTGAATGAGCAAAGTATTTACTTACAACTGACAATACGACCATTTGGATTTTGGGGTGGCACTTGGGGTGGCCAATCAGTATTTAAAGTGGGGCAGATTTGAACATTTCAAATTGTCCTCATCTTACATCAGCGTCACAAATAATCCCCAGTTTTTATATTACCGGTCCAAATTTTAACTTAGGATATTTAAAACTAATTCATGGACATCTGGAGTGATTTTTCATTTTAGATATTCAAAGTTAAAAACAACTCTTTAAAAAAAAAAGGGAGTTAGTAAAGTCAGTAAAGTAAGAACAATCTGTGCGGCTTCATAGGCCTGTAATCATTCCTCTCAGCGCTCGTTAAATGGGTTATAACCCATAATTTTCAGTAATTTGCAGGGGGTGTGGCTTTACCTTATTTCACCTGTTTAGTTGTGTGGCGGGAGGAAGACAAAGAGGTTGCGTGGGTTCACATATTTTCTGTTGCTGGTCATCATCATGGCAACCATCATTATCATCATGAATATCTTCGTCTTTTGTACTTTTTGTTCAGAATTATTTTTGACTTTTTTGTTGAATAACTAAATAAATCTATTTACCTATCTGGACTGAATTTTATGTTTATATACAAACAAGTTGCAGTTACAGGCCAATAGCATTATTCAATCTTAGCTGCCACAATAGTGTCAAAGGTTGAACTTTTATCAGGAGCATCTGCCTTGCTGCTGATTAAAACAAGTTCATGAAGTTGCTTTCATGAAACACCCTCCCCTGACACTGCTGTCAGCTACAGAGAGAGACAGCTTCAGTCTTATTCTGCAGTCCTCCTCATGCAGCAGGACAGACGACGCAATACCATCCGTACACTATATGTGAAATTGTGATTCTGTGATTTGAAACCCATGAGTCTACAAGGGAAATAAAGATGATAAAAATGGCAACTTGTAATACACCTGTGTTTAGAGTCCTTATCTTTGACATTTCAGCTCTTACACACAAAAAAAAGCTACAAGTATTGCCTTTATTTGCCTGTTTTGGCTCAGGATTCTCACTGACTGGTCCAGGATTTGAAATCATATAGAAGCCTCTCTATGTTCTCCTTGTGCATGCATCCCCCCCAGACCCCGAACGGGAAAAAGTGGTATAGATAATGGATAGATCATCAATGTTTCAAACATAGTTCATCAGATATATGAATTAAGTGGTAAAAAGTTTGCTTTGAACAATCTGAATTCTCACTCAGCTGCTTTCATCAGTAAAATGTTTATGATCAGACATTAAAGAAGAATGAAAGAAAAATACTGTTAGTCAAGACCTGAGGAGGTAAAACTGACTTAAAGCTTCACATACGACGCTGGAATTCATAACCGAGGATTTACTGAAAATGAGGGAAGAAAGTTCACATTTCACAGTGCTGCTCCTCCTCCTGGAACAAATCACAGCTTGAAAACCCCTCCCTGTTCTTTTGCACTCAAACATATTCTGACCATATCATTCCTTGTTCCCTCCCCTTCAGATCAACAGGTGGAAGGGTGTGTGTAAGCACCAAGAGGTGACATTCATTCCATGACACATATGTTGTGTAGAGCACAGTTTAAACCAGTTTTAATCACAAGGAAGTGAAACTCAGAGGAGTCGTTGTCAGACTCACTGTCGCTGGGAGGTGAAATGGCGCAGAAAGGGGTTCAACTGGACCGGGAGACCTTCTCCTGTTCGATCTGTCTGGATCTCCTGAAGGATCCGGTGACTATTCCCTGTGGACATAACTACAGCATGAACTGTATTAAAAGCCACTGGGATAAAGAGGATGGGAAGAAAATCTACAGCTGCCCTCAGTGTAGGCAGACCTTCACACCGAGGCCTGTCCTGGTGAAAAACACCATGTTAGCAGTGCTAGTAGAGGAGCTGAAGAAGACTGGACTCCAAGCTGCTCCTGCTGATCTCTGCTATGCCAGACCTGAAGATGTGGCCTGTGATGTCTGCACCGGGAGGAAACTGAAAGCCTGCAGGTCCTGTCTGGTCTGTCTGGCTTCTTACTGTGAGAAACACCTTCAACTTCACTCTGAACTGGATCCATTCAAGAAGCACAAGCTGGTGGAGCCCTCCAAGAAGCTCCAGGAGAACGTCTGCTCTCGTCATGATGAGGTGATGAAGATGTTCTGCCGCACGGATCAGAAGTCTATCTGTTATCTGTGCTCCGTGGACGCGCACAAAAGCCACGACACGGTCTCAGCTGCAGCAGAGAGGACCGAGAGGCAGAAAGAGCTGGAGGTGAGTCGACAAAACCTCCGGCAGAGAATCCAGAATAGAAAGAAAGACGTGACGCTGCTCCAACAGGAGGTGGAGGCTGTCGATCGCTCCGCTGATAACGCAGTGGAGCAAAGTGAGAAGATGTTCGCTGAGCTGGTCCGGCTGATACAGAAGAGAAGCTCTGAGGTGACGCAGCAGGTCAGATCCCAGCAGCAAACTGAAGTGAGTGGTTACAGAGAGCTTCAGGTGAAGCTGGAGCAGGAGATCACTGAGCTGCAGAGGAAAGACGCGGAGCTGGATAAACTCTCACACACAGAGGATCACACCCAGTTTCTTCTCGACTATCCCCCACGGTCACAACTCGATGAGTCAACCGACTCGTCCGGCGTCAATATCGGCCCTCGGAGGGACTTTAGGGATGTGACAGCAGACGTTTCAGAACTCAGAGATAAGCTCCAAGAAGTTCTGAGAGGGAAAGGGACGAACGTCGCTCAGACAGTGACTCAAGTGGACGTTTTGATGTCGCAACCAGAGCCGAGGACCAGAGCTGAGTTCTTAAGATATTCACACGACATCACGATGGATCCAAACACAGCAAACGCACTGCTGTCATTGTCTGAGGGGAACAGAAGAGCAACATTAAGGGCACACCACCAGCCTTATCCCGCTCACCCAGACAGATTCACTGAGTGTTGGCAGGTCCTCAGTCGACAGAGTCTGACTGGACGTTGTTACTGGGAGGTGAAGTGGTTCGGAGACGGAGTTTGTGTAGCGGTTGCATACAAGGATATCAGCAGAGCAGGAAGCTGGAATAAATGTGGATTTGGACAAAATGACAAATCTTGGGCGTTGGATTGTTACATCAACAATTCTAGCTTTTGGCACAACAAAGACAAATCCCCAGTGTCCAATCCTCTGTCCTCCAGAGTAGGAGTGTACCTGGATCACAGTGCAGGTGTTCTGTCTTTCTACAGCATAACTAACACCATGACCCTCCTCCGAAGAGTTCAGACGACTTTCACTCAGCCTCTCTATGCTGGACTTTGGATAAATAACTTCACCGCTGAAGACACTGCTGAGTTCTGTAAACTGAAGTAGACAGGAGGTACTTTAGGAACAGTGGGTTCACTTCTGTGTTTTAATTCTGGAACTTGATTTTTATTCACGTGTGCTGCTGAGAGCCGTCAATCACACCATATCAACGTCTTCTCATCTGTTGTGTAAGTGTTTGAGTTTCTTTCAGTAACACTCCTTCCTGTGACCTTTCACTGCTCATTGAATTTGAATTGATTTGTCATGTGTGCTATTTAGATTTGGGGTTGCTTGGTGGTGCAGCGGTTAGCTCCGTCGCCTCACAAGATACCTGTTTTTTTTTTTACGTCTTTATTTTAGAGATAGGAAAGTGAGTGGGGGATAGAGAGAGATAGAGAGGGGAACAGGAGAGGTTGGTTTTAAACCCTGGCCCCACCCACTTTTGAGGACAAGCACTAACCTGTAGGCCACCGGCGCCCCTAAACTCTTGTTAATATTTATATTAATAATGAATGAGAATTGTACTATTGGGTGTTTAAAAAACGTAATTATCCATCAATAATGAGACATTTTCGTTTATATCTGAGATTCTGATCAAACACTCTGATTGTGGGATTGAAGAGAATCAGACTTTACTGATTGGAAGTGAAGTTTACATCATGAATAAAAAAACATTTGAAAAGGTGTTTTCTTGTTGTCTTCATTGCACAAAGCTGGTAGAGAGAATGTGAAATGAGTAACAGTGAGAGTTTGTTTATTAGTTCATGTTTAGAGCTGAAGAGTATTTATCAGTCAGATTCTGTCTTTTCAGCCAGCATCACTAAAACATTTTAGAAAAGAGCAGAGGGTTAATTTTATGGTTTTACTTTTTAAAAACAACATTTAGTTTAATGAACTCATCTTTACTATCTCTCCCATGTGACCTGAAGCACAGTTACAGGTTGTCATTCATTTGAACAAACAGACTTAATATAAGATAACATAATAGGAAAACGGTTACAATGCATCAGTGCCATTTATTTATTTGTTTTATTTATTAGTATTACTATTGATTTGAGGGATGAGAGAGTGTGTGGGCAAAATGAATTAACTAAAAAAATTAAACTGATACTGATGATGTCTGAAGCTGCAAAAGTCTCGGTGAAGTTTTTCATGTTTTTCATCACAGCAGGTTTACAACTTTAATGTGAGAGAAGGAAAGCTCACCACATGATGGCACTGTTATTATGCCAAGGTAGAAGATGTGTTTTTGGTACACACTTTCTATCCCTAGTATAGTCCTTCAAGCGTTCTTCTCCTTCTCTCTCTCTCTCTCTCCCTGATCTCTGACTCTACTCACTGTCAAGTCTCTAAATAAAGGAATAAAAAGCCCAAAATTACAGTAAAATATACATACATACATTAAATATATAAATACATTTAAAATGAATTAAAATATTATTATATATAATTCTAGAGAAAAGTCTTATGTCACAGAATGTCTTGTTTTGTAAAAATGAAAAATAAACAGTTAAAAAAGAAAAATTAAAAACTGTATAAAATGTCAACATGCTGGCTCAAAATTTCAGCTGGGTCGTCTTAGTAAGAGGGTCTGATGTTGACACCTCCCAAAACACCCTGCAGTTTGGGGTCCAGTGTTTTCAAGGACATATTCACTGCAAGAGTGAGGAATTTAGAAGCCACGGCTGCCATTATTACGTTTAGATAAGTGAGTCCCAAGTTCACTTATATTACATCTTTGTGTTTAATCAGTGGGCCACTATCTATATGCAACACATGCATTGATTTTTACAGCAATCATTTGGCTCTGTTCTGGCCCTGTTCTTAGGTAGATATAACAATACACATCACAACATAATCATCTTACAATTTCATGCAAAATGAGCCTTCATACAAAGCAGTTGAGCCTTCATACAAAGCAGTTCAACAAACATCAGAGACTTTCAATTTTAGGCACTCTGCCAATATTTAGTCCGGCAATAGGTTTCACCCCAAGGGTTCAAAGGTGTGATTTGTTGTCAGTGACTATAAAGAACGAAGAAAGGCATCCTTCAAAGATAAGGACACTGACTTCTGCTATAAATACAGGAGTCTGTCTACACCTCCCTTCCCTGGTTCAGGTCTCATGTTATATGTCAAAGGGCTGAGCTCAGAGGGTCAGAGCCATAGATTACAGTTTGTTGCAATCAGAGGTGGCTTTTGTAAGTCTCCTTACTAGATCATCTGTTGTTTACATTGGCATCATCGTAGCCACTCAAGATGTTGTGTTCCACTGGAGTATTACCGGTATTTCTGGCAGAGGCGGACTCTCGTCAGTCATCTGCTCACAGTTGGGTTTGTAGCGACTTTGCTTCCAGACAGTAAACAAGGTCAATGCAGGAGAGCAGCTCCAGACGTCTCGGCTGTAAAGGTTTGATTCTTTGAACTACATTCAGCATGCAGCAACTTATGCATTTTTTTTCCAATTGAATGGTTTTGTCAAGTCATTTTAGAATTCTAGGGATTGTTTAAGGTTGGGTTGTACATTGGCTGATTTGTTTCTCAAGGTGTGTTTCATGTGAAGAAGAACATGGCCTGGACTTGTGAGATGCCGCAGAAGAGAGGCTTTGGTGAAAACAACGGGATTCAGACTAAGACCATCAACGGCTCGAGTGGTGCATCCACAACTAGAATCACCACCATTCGTCTCCAGGACATTTACGATCCAAAGCCTCAACCCCAGAAAGTTCCCGTGCGGATTCGCCCTCCGGGTCCGAGACCTCCCTCAGTGAAGGAGCTCAATTCAAAACCGAGCTTCCCCGGCGATCCTCCAACAAAGACAATCATGAGGAGACGAGCTCAGTCTCTCCCTTTGTCTGCAGACAGGAAAAAGGAGTTCAGGAGCCTGCAGGTACGTTTTGTGGACTCGTTAGGACTCGAGTTAGAGGAAGTCAAGGTATTTAAAGCCCAAGAGCACCCATCGATACCTGAACATGTTTTGTTTAGACTACTGATGAGTTCTGAGCATGCTTTCGGGAGGTCAATGGAGTTGTCCCTGCCTTACTTCAAACCCTGTTTCCCTGAGAATATGGGGATTCATCCCGACTTCCTGGAGAAACTCTGCACTCAGAGTGTGTGTCTGGAGCAGGTTCTGTGTTCAGAGCAGGGGATAACAGGCACTATACAAGTACTTAACTTAGCGTATGAGAAAAAGGTCACAGTGCACTATTCTTTCACAAACTGGAGATCCCAAACAGAAACAACAGCATCATGGCTATCGAGCGGTTACTGTAGAGACGGAGATCACAACGCTCCGGAAGCAGATCTCTTCAGGTTTCGTCTGCCCGTGCCGCCCTTCATTTTGCAGCCAGGAGCTGTCTTAGAGTTTGCGATCTGCTACAGTGTGAAAGGATTTAAACACTGGGACAACAACAATGGACAAAACTACAAACTGTCTTGTCACAGCTACAAAGTGACCGTGCCGAGGGAGTGTGAGGACAGCATGCAGCATTTTACCTGAGTGTCCACACTGCTACTACAGAAGCCCCCAGAGGACATGCATCCATACATACTATTTGGATTGTTTTCTCGAGATCTCAACTTATTTATCTAGATATCTTGGGATTATGGTGCGTGCCATTTTCCTCTGGAGTCGGATGTCGCATCTGGGAAGGTCGCCCGAGGCAAAATGAGTGTTTTTGTTTTGTTAGCTAACACACTACGTGAATGTTTCCATGTGGAAGCAACATAACTTGCAAGAGACTATTGGTGTGATTGATAAAAAAAAATAAAAAAAAGACTAAGCTGCTAATAAACACTTTCATGTGCAGTTTAAACTTTACTGTTGATGCACAGAGCAGCCATGTTGGATTTTGAGCTCAGGTTACTGAAGTTCCTCCGACTTTTCCAGCCAGACTTCTGACTTCAGGGCCGTTCCTGAAGACATCGACTTCGACTTACAACTGGAAATTTCTGTCCTCCGAGTTAAAATGGAACGCACCGCTACAATGCTGTTTTTTTCCTGTGATAAAACCTTAATTTCAGTCCTCTCTCTCGGGGCGTCAAGAAATTAACTATGAATTTGTTTTCATGGGAAAACTAATGCTGCTATATTTAGATATCAACACAGTTAAATTTAGATCTCAAGAAAAACAACCAGAGACTATTAGTTATCACAAGTTAAGAGTAAAATAAAATGTAAGGATGTATGTCCGCTTAGGGCCTCCGTACAGTGTCGATTCTAGAGTCTGTTGGGGCCCTAGGCAAGAAATAACTGGGGGCCCAACAACCTGCATTTATCACCACTATGTCTGCCAGTGTCCCAACGCTTTCTCCTCATCCTGTTTCTGTTTTCTCTCGGATAATTCCTCTGCATTTTTCTTGGTTGACTTTCATTGACAAACTTTGAGTGAGTGCTTGTCAGATGGGGCCCCCTTCGGGAGGTTTCCTACTGTCATTGCAAAATTTGCATGTTTTTGTCTGCTGCTGTGGTTTAACGTTTGTAAGCCCTCAGGGGCCCCCTACTCTGCATCCGTACCTACCTACCTATGTTTCTCTTAAGCAGTAATGAATGCAAATAAATAAAGTACTTGAGTAGTCTAGCTGGTGTGAATACTTTATCACAGATGGTTTTCTGCTGTACTCAATTTTAGAGGCAAATACTGAGGAGATATTTCTATTACTTAATGTTGTTTTTTGTAATGTGAGATGCTTTTTGATGTTACCATGAACCTTCTGTTAAGATAAACATGGCATCACCTCATTCTGCTTTTGTCTTTTTTTTTTTAAGTGGACTAAAGAGTGCAATGTTAACTCCACTGTTGCTCTGTGAGCTCCCTTGCATCCTTTACAGCGCTGACCTTTCACCGAAAAAAGTTTCCACTGAGAGAGGCCAGATTCCAGAGAACTTTTTGGCAGGCCGTAGCGTTTGGCTCGCAGGAGGACATTCTACCATCTGCATGAGTCACTGCAGCTGCCTGACGTGTTTTTAAAATGATAGCAGTTAAAACATTACTGAGCGTGTTGAGCTTTTATACTTCAGTCAGAGAGAACCAGAGGAACATGTTTATTAAAGGTGCAGTCTGATTAACTGTGAGGAATGGTAAATACTACCAGTAAAAATAATCATTTTGACAACTTAATTGATTGATTGGTCTTTACATAAAACATTTTTATTTGTTTCTGCAACAACAAACTATAATTGTACATCAGTATGTTTAATGATTTCTTCTTGAGAAACAAAAATAGATTCAAGAGTGTTTGCAAAAAGACTGAACTGACTGGAATAGAAAACAACATTTAACCCTAGAACATTAACGTTGGGTGATTTTCACCCATGCGATTGTGGTCACATGAATTTCATTGTGTTGCTGCTGTCTAAGTAGCGTGGGTCCTTGGGTAGCTTCATGCTGCCCCTTGACGTCAATCAAGGTAGGCGTGTTTCCCTGCTCCAATCACAGGCTTTTTCAACAGGCACCTGTTCGGGGTGATTTTCACCCGACGTTGGTGATAGTGAGTAAAATATTTCCCACACTTGTCAGTAATGCAGTGAGAGACTTATCCTTCCCAAAACAAGGCTCACATGTCCCAGGAACAAGTGGACTGAAAAACAACTTTCCAGCTCCTTTATTATTTTTTTTCAGGAATTTTTCCATAATTTTTCACAAATTTTAGATACTTTTTGAAGGATCCCCCCCCATGATACCTTTTTTTCATTTTATGAGACTTTGTATAGGGGAAATAAAAGAAGAGTACTTCAATTTGTCATGCATTGTTGTACTTTAATATATTTTGATGGGAAGTATGTTTTATCGGGTGTATCAGGCAAAATATACGTTAGTGATGGTGTTAGAAAACCTGTTAGTTATAATGTTTTGTCATGACTCATATCCCCGTGATTTTCATAAAATGTACATGCACATCAGTTTAATTAAGTGCATCTCTGCAGGAACATCACACACTCACAGCGCTTGTAATTCTGATGAATTCATGCCATTAAAGTAGTGGCAAAGTGCACTTATGGTACACTAGATGGCGCCATTACTTAAGTCTAAAGCCTCTCAGCCTTTCAGTATGAGGATGCCAGCATGTACTTGGTTTATGTTTTCAGTAGAGGAACCTTTTCAGATTTCAAACAGGAGGAAAAGCATCCAGGTATTATAAAGTCATAAAGTCCTGCATGCTTAACCTCACTTGTGTTTTATCAGAAAATATACAAGAAGAAGAACATAATATTAGTTATTACTATTTTATTATTCAGGTTTTTTAAGTGATGCATGAATTTTTTGAGTGTCATGGCTGATATTATTTCAATGTCTGTAATTACCCTTCATTATGTTAAATAGCTACTACTCGATCATTGTTAAGTACGGTACAAAAACAAGTATACATAATAAGAATAACAACCAACCAACCAACAAAAATAAATCAAAACTCAGTTGGCACAATGAAAATAACTTCACTGTCGCATGTAGCTTACTGGTTCACCTATTGGCCCTTTAGAACAACAACATCTGTTTCATTCTAAAGATAACACCATCCAAGATTCATTCAACACAAGTGTCATTATTTATTTTACTTGTTTCACCCATTTGAAACCTTACGGGCAAATATCCAATATTTCAAATATCGAATGACCTTCTGTTAGGCTTCAAATTCAAAGGGTATAGAGCCCTTAAAGAGACAGCATCATCTTGTGTAAATTGGACTGTTAATTGGTTATGGAGTGACTGATTGACTGATTGGCTGGTGTACCCTCATCATCCATAACTGAACCCTGTGCACATGTACAAACCTTTGTCTCTCACTTTCCTCTCATCTTTTGGTTGCTTATAACTTCTGCATTCACATCTTATTTATTCCAGTGTAGCAGTTGTTGTAAGGTGAAGTGGAAAGTGTATAGGAAAAAGCTGTGACCTGTTGCACTGTCACAACACTACAGCACAATCTTTTCCTCAGTGCTGGAAAGCTTCAGTCTGCACCCTGTGCCTGGAATCAAATCATTGTTTCTCCTAAACCTCTTCACTGACGCACAGATGTTCATAGCTGTCGTGCCTGTGTGATGTCGGGACATACATCAATGCTGCCTCGCTGCACTGTGCCTTTATTTGGGGCTGTCATCTTCTGCTTTTTGTCGGCAGTTATATAATAAGCCAACAAAGTAGGACGCAACATAATGCTCAATAGTCACAATTGACCGTTGAAATGTCGAAACTGATGCATAAATGAAGGTCCCAGTGATGATGACTTCCTCACATCACTAAGAGCCCGTTAGGCCTGTGTGTTTAGATATGAAACTGTGCCCTGTTTTTAATGACAGTGGAGAGCGTCAGAAATGGAGAGCGAGAGAGAGAGAGAGAGAGAGAGAGTGAGTAACGACATGACAGGAAAGAATCCACAAGTTGGACTTGAACCTGGGCCGCCCGCATGAAGACTATAGCCTCCATTCATGGGCCCTCTAACTGTTAGTCCAAGAGCGCCCCAGAACAGTGCCCAGTGATGATTCTAGAGTCTGGTGGGGCCCGCCAACCAGTGTTCCTTACCATCATGTCTGCCAGTGTCCCGATGATTTCCCCTCTTCCTCTTTTTTCCTGTTTTTTTTTTTTCTCCTATAGACGGATATTTTCTCCTCATTTTTCTTTGTTGACTTTCAGTGATGAACTTTGGTTTTCACAGCAATAATGCGAGTGATGCCAAGCAGGGCAATGATGAGGTCTGTGGGATGGGGCCACCTCAGGGAGGTTTCCTACTGTCATTACAAAATTTGTACATCTTGGGCCACTGCTTTGGTTTAAAGTTTGTCACCCCTAATGGGCCCCAAGCAGTCGTCTGCCTTGCCTGTTGATTCTACTGTTCATTGTCAGTCTCCACTGTTTACTTCTACTCTCTTTACTTCTTACTACTACAAACATTTTATTAATATTAAGCTAATATACTGTGAATCTCTAAAGTTCAGGTTCAGTCCCTTTTACTAACCTGGTGTTGCCACGTTCAGACAAATGAAGGCAGGTCTCTATGTATTTAATGTTAAAATAGTGTTTAGTGTTGAATTTCAAACTCGGTCCAAGAAAACATAAAAAATGTTCGTCAACGTACCAGTGTGAGACAGAAGGTTAAAGATTATCTGGCTCATAATGTGCATGTGCAACAAAATGCAAACACATCCTCTCAGAGAGTCTGCTGCACGATGATCTGGATAAAGACTAAAGACATGTAAACCTCAGTGAGTGACAGAAGGGACGCGGAGGACTCTGCTGCTTGTGATAGCTTCAGAGATGGAAATAAATGTTCAAATTAAGGGGGAGGGGAAATCGTTTTTGCCTTTTTTCAAGTGAGTTTTTAATGCTCTATCACAAGTTTAAACAAATTGAGGCATTCTGATGCTTACACAGTCAGTGATTATGTTAACAGGTCCTCTCTCTCTCTCTCTCTCTCTCTCTCTCTCACACACAGTGTAGCAGGCTGTCTTACAAAGAAAGATCAAATCACTAATGTGTTATTTATTTATCCATATCCTGATTTTGTACACTGATAAATATTCTTTCTGGTGTAAATTGACAATTTTATAGACTTCTCATCTTTGCTGTGCATGAGTTTTGTTTGAAATTAAGTAAAAGTCTGTCTTGTTTTGACGCCTGTCCCAAATAAAGGCAGGGTCGCTTCATAAACTGAAGTTAATAAAAGCCTGAGCTTTAACTTGAAGTTTAACGGTAACATAGAAATAACAGCTCCAGTCACTCACTGAAAGCGTTTGACGTAATTAAAGGAAAACTGTAGATAATATGACGTGTTTCGTAATCCTACAAAGACTATAATTCAACGAGAGAGTCATCGTCCTCAAACTTGGCTGACAAACTGCTGAACATATGTCCGGCATGTGCGTGGTTACCTTTGGCCCCGGCTCATCTGAGGGACTCCCGGAAGTCAGGGTTCCCCCCCTTTTTACGCTCATGGGAGCTTCCCTGAATTCCTCCCACGCAGCTCCACAGGTGAGCGGCCTGTTTCTGGAGCGGACAGGTTGCTCATTTTAATCACTCCACACAGCGAGCGGTCGTGGAGTACAGTCGATACCACACTGGAGCTGCCATCTGCTCCTCCACGAGGCCTCGGACGAAGGCTGTGACTCACAGAACGTGAACGCTGATGTCAGAAAATAAGCTAAAACCTGCCCTGCCAATCCGAACACAGCTCAGGAGGTTACAGTAAAATATCAGGGCTGCTTCTATGATAGATATTTCCAGTGACCTCACAGGCGCGTGTAAGATCTCTATGAGTGTCACTGGAAATAAGTTGAGGGATAAGTGTGTTACACTAAAACAATAAGTTTGACACAACGGCTTATTTCTCTTTTTTCTTGATGGCTGCAGATCAATTATTAGAGATGCAGAAAACAGTTCATAATGATCAACAGGATAGATCCGCTCTCACAAATTGGACACATGCAGCCATGTCAGCTTCTTGAGGAGATTTAAACACATGAATCTGCTCAAATCTTTAAAGAGGCCAGGTCCTCATCTGTTAGTGAATACTCTCCTGCCAAGATGAGAAGAAAGAAGCTCACTGCCTGCCTTTTGGAAGCTAACTGCTTCTTGATCTGACGAAGCTGAACTTCTCTATAATTTCATCATGTGCTCACTTAAGCATGATGATGCTGAGATAAATCTGATGGGATTACACTTTAAAACACTCTTATGATTCTTAGTCTACCATTTACAACCACATTCTGACCTCTGTGTGAAACGAGGGTGGTATTTGAAATCACACACTCATTCCCTACTCCCTACATAGGGAGGGATATGTAGTGGAGTATATAGTGCACTCATTCAGCATGACAGTGGCATTATCTCCGGTCGAGGATCAAAAAATAACAGTAAATTACAGCATGAACTTCAGTGATAACTCACATTATTTGAGTTTTCACAATAGTTAAAAGTAATTAATAAATGTTGTGTTATTAATTAAATGATAAAAAAAAAAATTCAAACCAAAACTCATTTTTGTGCTCACAGACTCTGGTCTCGTGTCTGTCATCATCATTAGGACAATCTGATGCTAACTCTGTTGACAATCTTTTACTTTTTGTTAAAACAGATTTTAAATTTCAGTAAAAACGCACCAAATATGACGTTTTTGTGTTTCTGTGGTCGCTTCTCTCGTCTGTCCAGATCTTTGAAGCGCAATGCATGATGGTATATATTAGGGCCCGACTGATATGGAATTTTTTGGGGCTGATGACGATATCAGAGAGAAATAATCTGATATATCGTTCGATATCTTTCTTAGCTTGGATCTATGTTTGATCTGTAGAGATATATTCTGTTGCTCCCTCACATGCAGTTATCAAAAAATATATAATGAAGACAAAATGGTCACTGAACTGGAAAGTAACTGTGCATGTACGTGCATCACCGCTTGACACTCTGGAGAGTGATGATACTTGTTGTAATCCATATAGCGCCCTCTGCTGGTGACAGTGTAACACAACGATAATCAAATGAAATGCTTCTTGACTGGTGAATACATCTTGTCATATCGGCACATCTGAGATATTATTAGCTGAAACGGTTAGTCACTAGATCTGCTAATATCGGCCAATATTATCGGCTCCTAGTACGTGTTGATTGGATAGTGACCATCGGTTGTACACACTTTTTCACAATGCATTGTGGGATACAATGAGTGGACTAGATAGTGTATGATAAAGCTCACTCAGAATTCAGGCACCACTGAAAAAGAGCTTATTCCCTACATAGTGCACTATATGTTGAATGAGTGATTTCAGACCTTTGTGTGAAACATGGTCACACAGTGCTGTGATATTAAAGTTAGGCTCATCCTTTCATCATGGAGCAGACGGCAAACACTCAAATAAAAAGACTGAAAAAGGACCAGACATATACAGAAGACAAACACAGTTAGCTACAAATTGAAAACTTGTATTGTGCAGACAATAAATAGTGCTTACAAAGGGATTTTTGTCTTTTTACACAGACAAGGTTTCTGTTTACACCGTTGATATGAAACGCGTCATCTACTGAGTCGGTGAGACTCAGACACAGCTCGAGGATGTGACTACTGATACTGGAGTGGGACTGGGCGACTCGGTCACATGCACGTTTCCCCTCTGTGGTAGCATCAAAAAGAATGTCTTTCAAAAGAGTCTGTTTACAAAAAAAGGTCTCCGTTTGTCTATGGCGAATGCACGAGCTTGCTTCCTCCTGCCCCACCGCTGACGAGGTGAAGCGAGGCTTAAGGTCGTGTTCCTCTGAGCAGAAGTGGAGCGTTCTGCATGCGTCCTCGTCCACCCGCAGCTCCATTTCCAGAGACATAGCCTCTAAGGTTTGCTGGACATTAAAAAAAGAAAACAGGACACCCACTGACTGTGGGCCAGGCCGATGGAAGACTCCGTGCAAAGCCTTCACTGACAGTAACCAGAAATCAGCAACTCTTCACAGAAGAAACCTTGCTAAGGCCGGTGGAACCTGCGAAGAAGAGAGGAGGAGAAACTGTGAATGTGGGCTGAAAATTCACACATAAGGGTCTCATCAATCACGAGCGCTATTATTAGCACAATGGGCAGTGCTTTTACACACAGCCAATGACCTCTCCTTAAGAATAGGCTCTTATGTAAGCATATCTCTGGTTAATTCAGGGGTTTTTTTACCCAGAAACACAAGCTAAATATGGGCACACATTCATTTTTAGTAGGAAAGCTGGTGCGAAAGGTTGCAACTTTCTCATCTCAAGGGGGCCTGGTTACAGCTAAATATAAATCCTTGCTCTGCAGGATGTCCACTTATTGATGCGAAACTGTTGGATAATGCACCTTTGTGTCTTCGCACAATGTCACACTAACCCTGTTAAGACACAACAGCGTAACAACAAAGCAGACAGAAAGAACCGAGAGAAGAAAGAACTGTTCTAACCTCGTCAGATGCTTGCTCGAAGAATGAACCTCCATCTCGTTACTTTTGAACTCGTTAAGCTCCTTGCGTATCGCTGCCTGCAGGAAAGACAAAAAAGAAAAATGGAGTGTGAGCACAGGTGTGTCCCCTTCGCACGTAGATGGATGTGCTCAGCTGGGGAAGCTTTTGACATGTTAAGAGAACGAGGAAACATCAGGTGCAGACTACGTAAGCTTAGGCAGTGATGCTGACGCCGAGCAGAGCGAACGTCAACACAGTTTCAAACCCACAAACAACGAAAGTGGCATCCAGGGAGTAATATTGTTGATCATCATAGTGGAATAAAACATTTCTAGATCAGCCAAGTTACACTGAAGGCATCTTTATAACATTTAGACTTCAAAATAATATTTGTGTTGTGATAAAAAGGGAAAATATGCCCATACATGAGCAGCGTTTACCATGTAGTGTTTATGAAGTAATCAATAAAGCATTTAGCACAGGGCCTAAATAAGTGGCATAACATAAATGAATTAACAAACTATGAATTCATCGTCTCATAATTTCATCCACATTTTGATTGAAACCCGTCACTTGTTTTTATTAAAACAAGACGCTGCCTCGCTGCAGCAGCCTGAAGCAGTGACAGTGTGTTTCTACAGGATGGAATAGATGCTACAAAAAAAAAGTATGAAGCTGCTTCTTGCAACAATTCAACTTTGCATACTTTGAAGAGCCTGTAACCTTACAACAAGACATGTGTCTACTGTACATATCACTAACTATATTTCATTGAAGGGTTCCTTAAAAAAAAAAAAAAACGTGTCTATGTCTTTAAATGAACTTTAAGGAGCAATATGTAACTTTGACACCTAGTGTTTAAAATGGGTACTGCAGGTCAAATTCAAAACATTAGAGAGAGCTGTCTCCCCCCGCCTCCCTCCTCCCTATAGTGGTACATAGGGTAAATGCTGTTGCCATGTCCTGGACACTGAAGCTTCAGTGTTTATCCAGCTCTGCATGGGTCTGTAAACTTTCTGTGTTCTAACCTCTCTCCATTTTTCAAAAAGCATCTCCAATATTGATCCTAGTTTCTGCTTGTGGAGCTTATTAGAAACATGCAGAGGCTTTTTAGGTCGGGTACAATCACTTCTATCTGAACCACTTCTCTTGACCATCGCTGCAACACCTGTTGGTTTGCTGTTTGAATTACAAACCGTGGAGTGCTGTTTGGGGGTTAGCCTCTAAAACCTCTAGTCAAAACAAATCCAGAGCATTCAGGAGCAGAATCTAAAGTTAGAAGGAGGACATACTGGCTGCTGCATTGTTCCCAGAGAAGCCAGCACTTCAACATAGCATGTTTCCTTAATGTCTGATCATATAGTAAGATCATTGTATGATTGATTCAGTAAATATTGCTCCTTTAACTTGGGTCAGAATCAAAAATGTACTGTAATTGGCAATAGCTTGAGAGGGGAAGCAATCTTGTAGCTTTCACATGCCCCCCCCTGCTGGAGAGTGGAGTGACATAAAAATTCTGGACCAAAAGATTTGTAAACAAACACAAGTTGGCTTACTTGGAATATGTAAACAAAGTGTGTTCCCATCACTTATGAGCCTCAGAACATGTGTTTGATACGAGACAGAGATAAAACGGAGGAGTGGGGTAACGCATTGTGTTTGTCAAATATTGCTCGCTGTAGTTGAATTATGTTCTTATGATTCACAAGGCCTTTTTGAGGACACCGAGTGAAAACGTTTAAAGACTTTCTTTGCCCACATGAACCCTGGAGAGAGGCTGAAGGTCTTTTTTAATAAAAGAGCTGTTAGAGCATACAACCACTGAGTGATATTCTCACACCTTCACATTTACAAGTGTTCCAGAGTTGCAGATCTGAGAAACGTTGAGTTGTGGTTACCTTGTCAGAAGCTGAGAGTCTGGTCCAGGGCTTGTCGGCTCTCCTGTCATAGTCCTGAGCTTTGGCCACTTCCACGTAGTCACTGAAACGAATGAGGATCTTTCTGTCCCGCAGCTCGTCTACTGTCGGCCGCTGGTTCAGCTGCAGGATGAAGAAAAAACAAAACGTCAGTTCATCAATTTCTTCTTTTATTGTGATGAATTAAAGGGAACGTCTTGAACCGTTGTGGTCTCGTACCTTTCTGTTCAGCCGCTGTTTGATTTCCCTCCTCTCTTCCTGTTCGGTCTGGTCGTTCCTTTCTGTTGACAAACACAAAAATAAAAGACTTTTAGTACAACGCACACACGATTCAAGATAATGTAGAAACAGACGTTTGAAGATTAAATGCAAATCGCTGTAAAAGTGTGTGTGAATGCAGGCGGCGCCGGTAGCCTAGTGGTTAGAGCACGCCCCCATGTACGGCGGCTATAGTCATCCAAGTGGGCAGCCGGGTTCAAATCCGACCGACTTTACCACTTGTCATTCCCCAATCTCACTCTATCCACTGTCCTCTCTCTAAATAAAGGCCCAAAAATAAACCTTTTAAAAAAAATCTAAAATGTGGGATATTCAATTCTGAAAGAGCTTGTTGATATTTGAACTCAGCAGCTTATAGCGTTTACAAAATAAGAGGCTTTATTCCCTTTATATGACTTTAAAAAAACAGTTTAATTGCATACCCCACTTTTTGGGACATGACCTGTCTTTGTACAGGTCGAGTAAATACACTCTCTCTCTGTGTTTTATTTGCTGGACCTGACGGTTGATTTCTAATTAGAGAGCTCATATGTCTAATCCTCCCGACAATCAATACTAAGTGAGCCGGTCTGAGCCAACTAAACCACTCTCTGACAGATTTAGTGCTGAATGTGAGCAGGAGAGAGGCACACAGGGATCTGAGGACTAATAGAATTCGTCTTAATTAAATCCAGCAGAAAGATCACTACATGTCATTTATATTTTCATTTAATCTCTCTTTTAATTTTTTCATTCGCCCCATTTTGAGGTACTTTGTAGCTTAAACAGAGCGGGCCGCTCTAAAGCTCTGCTTGTGTTTACTCTCTGGATGAATGCAGAGTAACAGGCATGTGTGGGTTGGTTTATTTTAGATTTTTCTATAGACTTTTATACTCTGGGTCGTATGTTTGGTTGATTGAATGTTGACCATGTTCCCTGTGTGGGAAGAGACGGCGTCAGTGACGAAACAGACAGCTGCGAGGAGCTCACAGGTGGCTCGTCTCAACTGGGAGGCGCAGGTCAGCACAAATATGGGACTTCGCTCGTCTCTTGGCTGTTTCGTAAATGTTCCATATCGTCAGGACAGAACGAACTGTTTCACAGATGGAAATGCTACGATCTGACACCTGCTCACGACTGACGAATTAGAACAGTTTTATCGCCTCCAAAGACGGATGAATTACATTTAGCATAAATCTAAACAACCACAACTAGGACAAATGATAAGTAACAGGCACACTGTAGAAATAACAGATTTATACTATTTTGAGGTATTTGTGGTGTGTGGTGTAGGCTGTACTTTCCAACAATGTAACATGACAGAGATGTCTACTGTCAGATGGATATTGTTAAGCATGGCTGCATGACATGTTTTTATCAGGCCTAATTTTTACATTTACATCAAAAATTCCCAAGCTTGATCAAATGTCTTTAATGTTTTAGCCTGATAAATTGCCAAAAACCCAAAAGAAATGCCATTTACAAATTGCAGTGCACATTTGAAAGATTGAGAAGGTCCATTTTACAAAGTCCACACATTTCTGCCACCCACAAAGCCTTTCAATTATAGCCCAGATACATTGAATTTCCGCTTTAAAAAAACAATATACATTTTATTTTGAAAAACCAACATGGGCCAAATTAAACAAATAGTCATAGTAACGATAAACTATCAACTTCAGACTTTTTTTTTTTTTTGCAGAGGTCTTAAAGCCATCATGTCAACATTTGCTGAAATGACTGCAGTAGGAAATGAATCCTATTATTCGGATTTATTTGGAAAATGTGCGACTTTTTTAAAGTTTTTTTTTTTTTTTTCAAACACAAATAGAGCCTAAAGAACATTTTGCAGCCCTATCTGTAGTGGGATTTGACTTAACACATTCAGAGTTGCACAGGATAAACGAGTTCTCGATCAGATAAGCAGAAGTCATTCTTGGAGGCTGTGTGGATACTCACGCTTTAAGATGTTCCGGCTCTCCAGCTCCTCCACTGCCGGTCTCTGGCTCAGTCTCCTGCGGAAAAACACCAGAATTACATTCTGGACCATCTTTACTCCCACGCTGCTGGGTTTTCTTTTTGTCCTCAACCCACTCAAAAGTCTATTCAGTCCTTCACAAAGCCTACTACTAGCAGCACTTTGAGGTCTTCTGCCGATGTGCAGAGCGCCGAGATCCGCACATCCAAAACGCGAACACCGCGTCCCACCTGGAGTCCGAAAAGCGGCTGGTTTTAGTTTTAGAACATTTAAGGCTCCACATCAGGAAAAAGTCGGACAGCGCGTTGGATATCACGCGTCAGAGCCAGCTTAGAAAGGAATAAAGGGAGAGAGTTCCCCTCTAGGACGAGAGATGGGGAGTTTTGGAGAGGCGCGTTGGTTGTAGGTCCCGGCAGAGCGGAGGATGCTGCGCGCTCTGACTGAGAGTGAGTGAGTGAAGCACCGCCTGCCTCCTTTTTACCACATGCATAATACGAATGTGAGGGGGAGGGACTGAGGAGGAGATTCCCTCCACATGCACATGCACATGCACACACACACACTGTGCAGCACAAGCAGTTTTGTCACCACAGCTTTATCAGGAAAACATAGGTAGGGCAGCAACGAGCCAGCGTTAAAGTAAAACTAAAAAAAACCCTCTTTAATCATTTTTGCTTGATTAATTGCTAATTGATTGTTATCCGCGTATTAACTATAGCACAGAGAACTGTATGATGTTATAGGCTATGTAGCTTGGTGGTGAAAATGCAGCAAAAAGGAGTGAGATGACATGAAAGCAAACAGACTATAGCAGGTACCAACCCTCTGAATGTATGGAGGCCTAGACCTACATGTTTAACTAGTTATGGTGATTTGCCTTGTCTCAGTTTTCCACATTCCTCATCATCCGAATTTCGGGATTCCTCGCATGACTCTCCAAGATTAACCTCCACCCCGCCCCTACACACACTCACTCACTGACACTAAATCTGCCACACAACTGTCAAGACAGCACCAGATTCCAAACAGGACACTTTTGTATTACACTCACCAGGAAACTAACCCTGATGTTAAAATTGGATCTTAACTGGGGTCCTTTAAAGCTTTCACACTTGGACAAAACTCCAGAAAAAACTCCTGATGTTTTTGGGTTGATTGCAGAGTTTTTCACTCTGACTTTATCTGGAGTTTCTCCTGCCAGCAGTATTTTTGAACAGAAAGTCCAAGTTAGTTGATGGAGGAACGCAGAAGGATATAAAAGGAGAATTCACCTGGAGTGAATGGGAGGGGGAGGGGGGGTGACATTTATTCCCTATACCATTGTTGCACGGTCATAGACTGTTTGCAAATGACCGCTATACGATCTCTGTGCATATAAACTGCTGCATTGTTGTTAGCATTCTGATCCTGTCGAACTACTGCACACATGGCACATGGCAAATATTCTCTTTATTGCGTTGTGTAGTGGACGCTGTTGCTTCGTCTGCTTCTTGTGCGTCGTTCTTTTAAACGTCCAACAGTCTCCCGCTGTGAGGGGCACATGTGAACAGCCAGATCAGGAGCATTTCAGGGGCCTGACATTCTCTAGACATTTTCAGGAGTGCATACAGTATTTTAAAAAAACACCCGTTTTTGATCCTCAGGTTTGGAGAGACATGGACACAAATAAATACGTTAACTTGGATGGTGGTGCTACTGTGAAGGTTACGAGTTTAAGTCCCTGGACAAAGGAAAATATAAGCTAGGCAAAGCAATGCCAAAACTTGCGTAAGAAATAAAATAGTTAATATTGAAAATTTTGAAGTAAGTTGTTATTTAACTTTGACTTGTATTGGTAAAACAACAGTGCGCTACATTCAGTTAGCTAGCTGGTGCGATAACTCAGCAATATCCTTCAAAAACTAAATTACATCTTTATCCCCAGTTGTTTCTATGAATTAAAGAATGAAGATTCCTTCAATTTAATCTTAAGAACAGTCAGTTATTCTGGATATTAAGCCGTTGCTGACAACCAAGGTAAGAAAAAAACCCATCTAGTGAGCTAGCTTCTAAAGTGAACTAGCTTCAACATTTTCAGAAACTCAAGTGTTATTAGCAAAAAAACAACAACAGTGATCCATAAGTTTACTCGGCAGCCCGCTGATGTGAGCACAATGAGATGAATTAATGGGAAAGTAAGTAATTAAACCGAAGTTAAATGAATATAATCAGTGACTCAAACAGAAAAAGAAAACAATAGATGCCTGAACGTAATAGAATCTAGTTTCATAATTGAGCAGGACAGGGTCAGCGCACACTGTGTTTACACAAACTGTTCAGCGATCAAATGATTCACAACCGCAGCAGGGGCCATGCAGAGCAGACCGGACGAGCGGAAAATTAGATCAGATGTTGTTCTGACCAGTGCAGGAGCTTAACGTGCTGACCAAGAAAGGAACATTACATTTACCAGGAACACAGTGTCTTTTCCAGAGCAGGACAACCCCAATCTGCAGAATTATGGAGGTGGACGGACAGTTTTAAAGTCTCGGTCTCGCAGCATGGAAAGATGGCACCAATTTCTAAATTGTCAAGATGATCCCTGAAGAACTGTGTGTCCCCAAATGCTCTTCTGCTGTCTACTGAATTAACCACAACCATCAGTAGATTTAGAAGACTGCATACGCTGCAGCGTTCAATAAAACGTTTAAAACAAGATGTAAAAGGGGGCGACAGTGGCCTAGTGATTAGTTTGCACACCCCATGTACAGAAGCAGGTGGCCTGGGTTCAAAACTGACCTTTCCCGCATGTTATTCCCCACTCTCTCTCTCTCTCTCTCTCCCCAGATTTCTGACTCTATCCACCGTCTGTCTAATAAAGTCACACAAAGGAGATTGCTGAGGTCTAAAGAAATCTGAAGGCAATACCTGGATCTTCAAAAAGGGTTTAAAAAACAAAACAATCTGTAGTGAAAAAATGTCTAAAAAGATGCAGGTCAGGTGAAAACATCTGGTTGTTATTCAGCTTGTTTCAAAATGACCTGTTGTTAATCAATTTACCATGTTTTTTTTTTTTTAAATGATCTGTTTTTAGCTTTGTCATTATGAAACAGCCGTTTGAATAAAGGCTTTTTATTTTATTTCCAGAAGAGTCGAGCCTCGGGTTCCCCCCCCCCACAATAAAGAGCTCCTTTATAACACTTTCCATGAACTTCTGAGCACTACAGCTCTCCCTTGTTTTGATTTACTATATAGACTTGTTAGCAAGTCAAGAAAAATATGGTGGGCATAAATTCTACAAAAATGTGGTCGATACGGCCGAGAATCTTTGGGTGTCTCATGATTCCATTTTGATTCTTGGGGTCATGATTCGATTCAGAATCTATTTTCGATTCAAAACAAAAGTCTCATCTGTGAGACTGCTGAATTTCTTGCTGCTCCATTTGGCATCCGACCGAGATAAAGAGCTAGCCTTAGCATTTAGCAAAAACATTTTTGGAAGTTATAAATCTATTTAAATCTCAGAAGATAAGAATCTCGATTTTTTACATAAATCTATTTTTTCCCCACTTCTAGTGGTCGATGACCCTCAAAGGCTCAAATGTCAAGCTCCTTTCATCGGTCAGTTGCGAACAGAATGAGCAGGAGAAACGTAAGTAAATCTGTTATTTCAATGTGTCAGATATAATCCTAAAAAATTCTTAATTTTCTGCTGCTGTTTATTTAAAGCGAGCAAGGTTGGCATAGAAGTGACGTTCAGGATGAAGTGAGCCTTGCCTTTGTCTCGTTGTAAGGTTGAAGTATGAGTACAAGTTTATTTTAGGTTGGTAGATACAATATGGGACTTGGTATCATAAAGTATCAAGGAAATAAAGAAAAGGGGACAGGTCCTACCTCACAAATGCAGTTATGATGAATTTGACAGAAATAGAAAGTGTATTTTTCATTTGACCTCACAAGCTCAGACGATTCAAAGACAAAATGATCAAAGTGTTTATAAGCTGTTACGTTTTGTCCACAGCCCTGCAAATAATGAGAGTGGGATGGCAACCTAGAGTGTAATATCTAAAAAAAGCTTCCTGTCCTGTGACAGCTTCAGCTGTGACCGGGACCACAGAGGGCCTTATGAAACAGCACCACAGACATGGCAGTGTTGGAAGCTGAGGAGGGTTGTTGTGCTTAATGGAGCAGAGTTATAGAAGGATGTGTGGTCTGGAGCAAATACAAAAAAAATCAGGTCAATGGCATTTACCTCACTTCACAGAGTGAATGACAAACCTACTGCAGACACACTCAGAACTCAGAAATGATACGTAAGATGTATTGTCCATGAGAAGATTGACGTGATGTGGATTTAAAGCAAAGACAAAATCCTCACAACACAGAAGCAGGAATGACTCAGTGTGTTTTTACCAAACAATCCTAGTGGGGCCTTTAGTCACAGTCTCCTACAGCGGTTTGCACTTCATAACAACTCACCCACTCTGCTCGGTCAGAGGTAAAAGTTCCTCGTTTGTTTGAGGACTCACCAGCATGTCAAAGCAATGAGCTGCCTGCACAAGCAGGGGCTGATGGGAATGTCAGCCCATGAAAAGTGGAGGAGAATGGGATGCGTCAGGCGCCACAGGCCGGGCAGTGGCCTGTTTCTGCCCAATGAGGTGTATCCTAATGCCTCGCTCCTTCTCCTCAGTGACAGAGCTCGAGGGCAGGAGTGCCACAGTCCGATGTGGAGCCCGGGACAGCCAGGGGGCGAGGGGTTGGGGTGGGGTGGGGGGGGCAGTTGCCAGGGATAATAGAGGATCCCTCTTTAATTGAAGCCTGCCAGAAGCTCTGGGTTTATGTAACTTTGTTGTTTTTTGGTGGTGACCTGGATGTGTCGCACTGTTACTAGGTCACATAAATAAGACGAGTGTGGCTACGAGGAAATAGTGCTTTGTTGACATTTTTACTAGAGCTTTCAAACGATTACATGTCATAATCGCAATCACAATGAAATGTAATCCTATTTTTAACCACGTGTGAAATTCCATTATTTCGCATTTAAAGTTTGCTCATGCT